GGCAGGCGGCGCTGGACAGAGGCTACACGGTCCAGGGGGAGATGTTCTCAGGTCAGCCCCTGCCTGCCCCGGGTTGGCGTCGGAGATGCCCCGGCTCCGGGGAAGGGGTGACGGAGCCTGGAGTAGGGTCTGAGACACGTCCCCCTCCTCCCCCAGCGGCGGACATGGCGAAGCTGGCGGCGGAGGTGTTCCCGTGCCGGGCGGAGCTGCTCACGGGAGGCCTGGAGGGAGCCAACCGGGACAGGATCCTTCGCCACCTTGCTGCTGGCTGCCCCGTGTTGGTGCCGTATCCTTCTCCCACGTGGCCCCCCAGCTGGGATGGGCCCACGCAGCCGCGGCAGGTGCCGTCTGGGTCCCGTGGGGGGAGTGATGTGTCCGCTGTGTCTTTGGAGGGGTACTGGGGGGGGCGTCGTGGCTCTCCCTCCACCACCTCCAGGTCTCCCTCAGCTTCGCTCAATGCCCCCGGGCTGCGGAGGTGGCTCTGGGAGGGGTGGCGACGGCGTGGTCATCCCCTCAGGCCCCCCGCTGCAGCCTTGACGAGCGCCCAGCTACGATGAGGACTCTAACCACGAGCCCTGCCGCCGGCGTGGATACAAAGCCCACTGGGCCGTCGTCTCGGGTACGGTCCTGCCTGGCCTGGGTGCCACGGGGCTGGTGAACTGTGCCAGGGGTCTGGGAGCCGTGTCCGGCAATTGCCACGGGCTGGTCCCCGCCCCCAGGGCATAGGGGGGCTCTTAGGTGCGGGAGTGCTCAAAGCCTTGGGGGGTGGAAATCTGCTTCAGACCGCGGCCCGGGGGTGGGCAACAGCCCACCACCCCTTTGGGCCCAAAGGGCCACATCCTGCTGCTTCCAGGAGCGGAGCTGGGCTGACAGCCGCTGTGCCCGCAGGAGCCCTTCTGGGTCTGAGGCCCGACGCGCCGAGCCCGCCCTGCCGCGAGGACGAGGAGATCCCAGGGCTCTTCCACCCCCGGGGGCCGGGGCCCCTGCCGGCGGGCGTGGAGGAGACCTACCTGCTGGCCAAGCAGGGCAAGAGCTGGCGCTACCAGCTGTGGGGCTACGGGCAGCTGCAGGAGAGCAACGCTCAGCTGACAGACTTCAGCCCCCGGCGGGCGGGCGACGGCAAGGTCTACATCGTGCCCGCGGGCGGCCTGCAGGAGGGGCTGTGCGGCCAGGCCGTGCTGCTGCACCCCGGGCCCTGACGCCAGGTCAGCAGGGACGTGCCCAGCCCCGGATAGGGCCAAGGGGACGCCTGGGTTCCCCACTTTGAGCTCCAGGAGGTGAGGAGGGATCCCGGCCTCCTATATCCGGCGCTCTGAGGCAGGAGCCACGCTGCCCCGCCAGGCAGGGAAGGGCACCTGGGGACCGGCCCATGCTTCCCCGGGGAGGGACGGGAATGCCAGCCTACACCTGCTCTGCTGCGGAAAGACCTGCGGCCAGATCTGTGGCTCCAGGATTGGGCTCGGAAGTCAGCTCAAGACCCGTCTACGAGCCGCGGTATACCCAGGGACTGCCGGCACCCCGTTTATCCTAATAAACGCGCTACTTACCTTCTGCCTTGCCCACGGCTCTCACGCTCCAGGGTCACACCGCGGCTTCATTCAGTCGAGCGCCCTTCCTTTCCTAGCTGTTTTCTCCCTTTCGTGACTTGCCCGCTCCTCCTGCTTGGCCCTTTAGAGGCTGTTCCTATCCTCGAGTTGTGGTTATCGGGTATTGATTTAAAGCCCTGTCTGCATCGCCGAATCCTACAGCCGTGGGGATGGAAGGGAGCTTAAGAGGTCGCATCCAGTCCAGCCTCTGGCCGGAGGAAGGATCGGCCCTGTGCAAACCAGCCAGGACTAATCCAGCGTGTATCAAATACTGTGGATCCTGACACAGCGGATCTGACGCCAGAGTTTGCTGCAGGAAAAGCAGCGGGGCCGCAGCCGCCAACGTCGTGCTGCTGTGACCTGTCAATAATTGCTGAAGAGCTCCCAGGCCGAGGCTGCGCCCCCGCTACAGAGGGGGCTGTGCCAGGCTGAGCATCTGCCCCAGTGCAATGTGGGGCTGAGCCTGAGCACAGGTGCGGGACCCTGCAGGTTGGTCCCAGCAGGAGCATTGGTATAGTCCGGTCCTCATCCCCAGCCTGAGCTGCAGGTAGCACTTCCGGGGGGGGCTTAAAACCCCCCTGACACATGGACGGGGAGTCCCCCCACCCATGCCTGGTGTCCACCCTGTGGACCTCTGCTCTGCCCTGGAGGAAGTGTTTCTGTATCAGGTGGAGTGACCGGGGGCGGTTGTGTTCAGTGTCATAGATCCATAGATTGTGGAGTCGGAAGGGACCACAATGGATCATCGTGTCTGACCCCTGCCCCTGGCAGGAAAGAGGACCGAGGTCAGATGACCCCAGCCAGGTGACTATGTAGCCTCCTCTTGAAGACCTGCAAGCTAGGTGACAGCACCACCTCTCTTGGAAGCCCATCCAGATCCTGGCCACCCTGACTGAAACATTTCTTCCTAATATCTAACCTAAATCCACTCCCAACTAATTTACACCCGTTATTCCTAGTCACTCCCTGGGGCGCCCTAGTAAGCAGCGCTTCCCCTATTCCCCATTGACCTCCCCTAATAAATGTATAGGCAGCCACAAGATCTCCCCTCAGCCGTCTCTTGTGAAGGCTGAAGAGATTCAGCTCTCTCAACCTCCCCCCGTAGGGTCTATCACGAAGGCCACTAACCATGCTAGTGGCCCTCCTCTGAACCCTCTCGAGATTCCCCGCATTCCTCTTGAAGTGCGGCGCCCAAAACTGGACACAGTACTCCAACTGCAGCCTGACCAGTGCCTCATCACCTCCTTTGTTGTATTAGTCATGCACCTGCTAATCCACAACAAGGTGCGATTGGCCTTGTTGATGGCCTCATTACACTGCCGGCTCATGTTCATCTTGGAGTCAGTTATGACTCCAAGATCCCACTCTGCCTCCGAGCTACTGAGAAGGACACTCCCCAACCGATAGGTGTGCTGGGGGTTCCTCCTTCCCAGGTGGAGTACCTTACATTTATCTTTATTAAATTGCATCCTATTTCTCTCTGCCCATTGATCCAACCTGTCCAGGTCAGCCTGAATCTGCTCCCTGCCCTCCGGTGTACTAACTTTGCCCCATAACTTGGTATCATCAGCCAACTTGGAGAGGGTGCTCGCCACGCCCTCATCCAAATCGCTGATGAAGATATTGGATAATATCGGTCGGAGGACCGAACCCTGCGGGACCCCACTGCCCACCTCCCTCCAGGCCGAGAAGGAACCATCCACCACCGCTCTCTGGTGCGGTCCCTAAGCCAGCTGGCCACCCACCCGACCGTGTAGGCATCCACAGTCTGCTAGCTTCCCAATGAGGACAGGGTGCGAAACTGTGTCGAAGGCCTTCCTAAAGTCCAGGAAAATGACATCAGCCTCGGCTGGAAAACAGGGCGAGTGCACACTCAGCACCTTCGCGGATGACACCGCGCTGGGGGGAGTAGCAGATGCGCTGGAGGGCAGGGCTGGGATCCAGAGGCTTTGACACATTGGACGGCTGGACCAAAAGGAATCTCATGACTGAGGTTCAATTAAGGACAAGAGCAAAGTGCTGCGTTTAGGACAGAGCAGTCCCGTGCACCGGGACAGGCTGGGGGTGACGGGCTGGGCAGCAGCTCTGCAGAAAAGGGCTGCAGAGCAGGCCGGGGGTGACAGTGGGCAATAAGATGGATATGAGCCAGCAGTGTGCCCTTGTTGCGGCATCCTGGGCTGCATGGGTAGGAGCGCTGCCAGCAGATGGAGGGCGGTGATTCTTCCCCTCTATTCAGCACAGGGGAGGCCACATCTGGAGTCCCTTGTCCAGCTGTGGGCCCCCCACGACAGAAAGGGTGTGGATACGTTGGAGAGAGTCCAGCGGAGGGCAAGAGCAGGGGGTTGGAATAGATGTGACCGGAGGGCCCCTCAACCCGAATTTTTTATGATCTCCAAAATCAATTCATTTTGCTGCCTCTTCCAGCCATGGCTCCATGTCCTCCTCTCTGCCCCAGAGACTGCAGGCGCTTGCCCTCCTTGCTGCAACTGCCCTTCGGATCCCTGCAGCCCGCTCCCAGGGCCCCTCCAGCGCCTTTTCCGCCGGCTGAACCAGCCCAGTGCCACCTGCTGCTCTGCTCCGCTCCTCCCCGCCTGGGCCGCACTTTCTGAGCCCATGGGCATCTTTGTTGCCGCCTCTGGACCCTTGTTAGCTTCTCCATGGCCTTGCTCAAAGCCTGGAGCCCACCCAGGCCTTGTCCCGGTGCCTCCCAAAAGCCTCTGATGGCATCCATCCCGTACCGAGAGTCCTCTCTTGCAGAGCAGCTGGGTGGCATGGACATCGGCAGCCATTTTTTTATGGTGCATTGCCCCCTCCCAGTCCCATGAGCTTGGCGCTGCCTGCACTAGCCCGGAGGAGCGGGCAGGCCTCCGTGCCAACCCCGGCAGCCGTGTGAGCTGGGCAGGCTGGGACACATGAGGGCCACCAGGGGGCGCCTTGTGCACATGGCACAGCCGGAGCTGCGGATCCGGATCGGGCCCGTCAGGGTGCCCCCTCCTTGCCCGGATGCCCCTTTGCGCCCATGGAGCTGCGTGGGCTGAGACCAAACCAGCTCATAACTCCCCCAGGGGTGCATGTGCTGGGGTTTTTTTTTTGCGGGGGTGGGGTTTGGGCACGGCTGCCTAGGCCACCATTGCCCCTTGTACAGATGGGAAAACCGAGGCAAGCGAGGGCAGGGCAATCTCAGCAGCAGGGAGCTGCACCCTGGGCCAGAGCCCTGAACCGGGCTGAACACCGCAGCCAGGCTTGTTCGTTAGCCACAAAGAGACGCCGGGAAGCCCTTGGAGGGGCCGGGCTGCTCCGGGTGCAAGCGGGGCCCCGATCCCGGCTGGTCCCGGCGGCTGTGCAATGCCAGGGCAGCTCCCACGTCGGCCGTGTGCCGGGGAGGGGGCTGCTGACGCAGCCGTCAGCTGGCCTGAGGCGGGGGCTGAGAGGGGGGGCCGCCCACAGAGAGCGGCTCCTGCTCCCGCACCCGCACCCGCCCCAACACTGGCAGTTGGGATTAGTCGAGCCTCCCCTGCCCCTGGGAACAACGTGTTGCGCCAAGCTGGACTGGCCCGAAAACCCAGGGCGGGGCCTGGACCGCCCTCCAGAGCCCACGTCCTGGCACAGGGGCTCAGCTTCCCTGTCTCTGGGCCTCCACCAGGCCTGGGAAAAGCACACGGATTAAGGACCCAGGCGAGTGGGAGGCGTGGCCCTTGGCATCCTCTTCCACCAGGTGTGTGGGTCCCGTACCATCCCGCTCTTCACCTGCAGCCTCCTAAAAGCAGGTGGCACCAAGCCGTGGCAGCCGTGCCAGGCACCTACCACGGAGCTGTCATGGCGCTGAGCACGGCCACGCTCCTCTTGCTCGCCCTTGCCCTCACCGGCCTGGCCTGGCTGCTGGCAGGGGCGCAGCGGGGGCGCAGGAGGGGTAGGCGCCTGCCCCCCGGGCCCCGGCCATTGCCCCTACTGGGAAACCTGCTGCAGCTGGACACCAAGGACATGATCCGGTCGCTGACGGCGGTAAGGCGGGTGCAAGCACAGGCTGGGGGGTGGGGCTTAGTTGGCTGTGCGCTAAGTCCTGCAGCTGTCAGCAGCTGGCCACGTGCTAAGCCAGGCATGTGTTGGGAGCTGGCCATGCACGAAACCGAGCGGCTTTTGGTTGCTAGCTGTGCACTAAACCGAGCGTCTGTCGGCAACTGGCCACACGCTAAACTGGGCATCTGTCGCTGCTAAGCCTGGCATCTGTCAGCAGCCAGCCGCGCACTAAACTGGGCACCTGTTGACAACTGGCAGCGCGCTAAACTGAGCGTCTGTCAGCAGCCGACCACGCACTAAACTGAGCGTCTGTTGGCAGCTGGCAGTGCGCTACGGCCCTGTGTTCATGGTGCACCTGGGCTCACAGCCCATGGTGGTGCTGTGCGGCTACCGCACCGTGAAGGAGGCGCTGGTGGACCAAGCCGAGGTCTTTGCCAGCCGCGGGGACCTCCCCGTCGTGTACCGCTTCACCCAGGGCAACGGTGAGCATGTCTTCGCCTTGCCCTGCTCAGTGCCTCAGTTTCCCTGAGGGTGGGGGAGAGGGGAGACCCTAAGGGGCATCTGATGGCACGATGGCACAGGTGGGGTGACCCCGACCCTTGACCCCTGACCCCTGACCCGACAGGCATCGCCTTCTCGAATGGGGACAAGTGGCGGGTGCTGCGGCGCTTCGCCATGCAGACGCTGCGCGGCTTCGGCATGGGCAAGCGCAGCCTGGAGGCGCCGATCCAGGAGGAGGCCCGGTGCCTCGTGGGGGAGCTCGACGGCACCCAAGGTGACGCCGGGGGGGCGGGGGGGGGGGTGGGTTAGGGTCCCCCGTGGGCCGGGTAGCACAGGTCACCCTTGACCCTTGACTGCCTGCTGGGGTGCAATGGGCATGTGAGCACCCCTGCTGACCCCCCTTCCTGTCGCCAGCGGCACCCTTTGACCCCACCTTCCTCCTGGGCTGCGCTGTGTCCAACGTCATCTGCTCCGTGGTGTTCGGGGAGCGCTTCGAGTACACGGACCGCGGCTTCCTCGCCTTCCTCGGCGTCATGAACCAGAACTTCCTCCTGCTCAGCTCCGTCTGGGGCCAGGTGGGGCCTGAGTGGGGCCGGAGCCGGGCCCTGGAGCTCTGGGAAGGGGGCTCAAGGCACGGGGGCCCCACACGGAGAAGCCGGCGGCGGCAGTGCCCGTGTGCGGCTGCTTGCACGAGGGCCGGGGGTCCGGAGGGGTCCTCGGGCAGGTGCACACGCTGGTGGGTGGTACACGTACATGCACATGCATGTCACTGAGCAGTGGGCAGGATGGACGTGCGTGATGTTGATGATGGGTTTCTTGCACACACACACACACGCACACCTTGTCCAGTTCAGTGCACACTCTCTCTCTCTCTCTCTCACATATATACACATGCATGGACACACACACACACACCTTTGTCCAGTTCCTTGGACACTGTCCCTCTCTCTCTCAGACACACATACACACACATATACATATGCAAACACACACACACACACTTTGTCCAGTTCATTGGATACACACACACACTCTCTCTCGCATGCACACACATACACACACAAACACACCCTTGTCAAGTTCATTACACACTGTCTCTCTCTGTCACACACACACACACACACTCACACACATACACCCACGCAGTCTTGATGCGGTCCAGTCCCTCCATGGACCTGACTCCCCGCGTGTGTGCATGCATGTGTCCATGTTTGTGCATGTCCGTGTCCTCCTGTGCAGCTGTACAACCTCTTCCCCGGGCTCCTGCGCTGGCTCCCGGGGCCACACAACCGCATTTTTGCCAACTTCGAGCGGCTGCGGCGCTTCGTGGCCGAGCAGGTGGAGCGGCACCGCCTGGCCCTCGACCCCAACTGCCCCCAGGACTTCATCGACTGCTTCCTCCTGCGCATGGAGCAGGTGAGGGGCGGGGCGGGGCGGCGGGCCAGACCCCGGCACGGGGGGGACCTGCGCGGGAAGGCCGAGCACCTGTGCCAGCTGGCCCTGCCTGCGCCCCCCACTTCCCCCAGTGCAGGGAGGCTCGTCTGGTATTAGCAGACTGGTATTGCTGGGACCCAGGTGTCTGGGTGGGGACTTCCCGGCCTGGACCAAGCCCTGATCCGGCAGGAACGGCAGTGCCCCCCGGACCGATCACAGGAGTCTCCAGCCAGCGCCGGCATCTCCTGCAGGTCGGCAGTAAACAGTAGCTCAAAACCACAGGCATTTAATCAGTATTTAGACAAGGAGCCTCTTTGCTTACTTTTTAAGGAGCCCAGCAATTAGCATCACCCTCCCAGCCAAGTATTCGGAGTAGGGGGCCAGGGTCCCGTGCCAGGTGCAGGCGTCCGGAGCCCGGCTGGCACCCTGGGCACCTCGCTTCTCTGGCCCCGGGGCCCTGGCTGCCGAAGCCCCAGTGCGGGGTTGGGAGCGGGCTGCCCCGTGCCTTGGTTTCCCCCCATCTGTGCCTCCCTTGGGGCATGCGGCGCCTGCTGGGAGGGCGTGGGTGGAACATGTCTAGCAACACCTGGGATGGCAGCTCCTGGGACTGGCGCCAGCGGGATGATGGGAGCCCGGGTGCGCGGGGGCTCGGCTGCACCTGTCTGGAGGGAGGGTCAGTCCTGAGTTCAGCGCCTTGAAGCTGCAAAGCCCCCGTGCCCCCCCCTCCCCCCAGGTGGGTGGGGGAGCCCAGGAGTCCTGCCCGCTGGCACCATGGGCCAGCCCCCTTGCAGAAACAAAGACTCCCCCCCGCCCCCCCAGCCCCTCACTTGCTTTCACCGGCCCCTGCTCCTTTCCTGCAGCCGGGGCAGGAACCCAGGTGTCCTGGCCCTCCACCCCTCCTCCATAGA